GAGCGAAGGAGAGAGAAAATTACCTCGACAGTGTCGACCGTCCGGTGCGAGGCTATAGCCGTACGGACAAATACACCTGTAGGAACCCTCGTTGTTCAAGCACCTAAAGGCGCAGTTGTGCAGTTGCTCAGCACATTCGTCCACATCTTTGCATCTCTACATCACGAGCGAAGGCAGCAAAGACAATTTTACAAGAAGCCCTCTTAAAGGCACTTGAAGTTGATGAACTCACTCCATCCAAACCAGGAGCAAATCCCGGTGCGCAGGAACATTGAAAACCCCCGACAACGTTCGTACATGAGCCATTGCCGCAGATCCCAGGGTGTCGTGAGCATTCGTCATCGTCTGCAAAGGAAAATCCAAACGCATTATTTCTCTCCCCTTTTACTCCCTGAAAGAAAAAATAAATAAACACATCGGATTCGATCGCGACGTCGGGGTCTGGCATCGCCTACTTTTCTGGTTGCTGATCCCGAACACCCCTCTGGGACTGAAAAAAAATTTTCGGCGCTTGCCGAGAACCGATTATTCTGGCATATCAAACTAGCCCCAGGGTTGGCACGCGCGCAGATATTCCCTCTCACGCAACCATAAATAACCGGAACAAAACGTATCGCACGCATCGCGAATTTCCCATTTTGCTCGAGGACTGCTCTATGAGGCGCCCATTTAGGGGCTGGCTGAAGCGAGTTCACTTGCCGGGTTAAAGTGATTTTCACACGAAGGGAGAAATTTCCGGCCAGTGCTCTATCGTATATAGAGTACATAGGCTATGAAGCTTCGAATGAGCTGCCGGGTAAAATTCCCATTCCTCAAATAACTTGTCGGAATTTATTTCTGCTGCTGCGTCTCACCGTTGATTCGGTCGACATGAGCGAAGACCATCTAGTGAGCGGAAGAAATATGCCTGGATATCCATTTTGCGAAATAGATAACATAGTGATGGAAAATTAGAAGATATCTCGCATTCACTCGAATAATACAGTTACAGCATTTCCTCATTCAGGTCGGTCTATCCACCCCCGAACGAATGCATTCAAAAATTCAGTTGCAGCTTATTCTGAAAATCACAAAAGAAAATGCGAGGGTGACGATAACAGTTTCTGCGCGCGGTCTGCCATTTCTTAAAAAAAAAAGCTATATTGTGTACAGTATTTAATTTACAGGCGAATTCATCAGCGTACAGTACTTCTATAAATTCAAGTTTAATCTGATTTGAAAAAAAAATCTTTTGGACGTCAACTGAAGTCATTGCTACTGAATGTGAGAACTAAGTTCAAATTGTTTTCGAATACGGAATAGTTTCATCATTTTTAAGGATATGAAATGGCAGACAAACAAATAAAAGCGTTATATCCTTTTGCAAGTGACTGACATTGTTTCCTGCTTTTGAAACAATGATTTTTAAATTCAGATTGTTCTCAAACTTGAAGATGTACGTTGATCAGCATTCCGAACAATCCAAGTTTTAAAAGCATCTAGTTATTGAAAAAATGGCAAGCATTGCACAGGAACTTTAATAATGACACTTCTGCGTCAGGTAAATTTCAACACAGTGAGACCCCCACATGTGGACACCTCGACTTGGGGACAATTCGACTTAGGGACATTTATTTTTCAATAAAAAATCATTAGAAAAGGTCCGACATATGGACACTGACTCCACATGAGGACATCGCATGATAAAATTGCCAATAAATTTTAGGAAAATTGACTTTTATTAGGCTTAATTGCAAGAAACAGATATTTCCAACCCTAAGATATATGCAAGACAAATTTGTTGGTACTTTTCCCATCACTTTCCCATCCATTCAGCTATTTAAAAAAATTACCAATAGCACAGAGGGACTTCCTTCTCTCTTCTTGACTTGGATGTTATTTTTACAGATGACAATATTTCAATGAACTGTACAGCAGTATACTATTCAATACTCCAAATGTTCTTATTGGGTTGAAAAGATATTCCCTGAATCAAATTCAAGCTGCAAACAAATCTTTTTCATGGAATTCTGACGAGTATTTCTTAAATAAAACACCAATTGAAAATTGTATAATGTAAGTCTATGAGAAACAAGACTCTACTTAGAGACAATTCAACTTAGGGACACTCTTGATGCACTAATTATGTCCGCATCTGGGGGTCTCACTGGTATAGTAAAGAATTCAGACAACAATCGTTTCATAAGAAAAGCATCCGAGAGATTTTTCATGGGATTTTCTGGCTTTTTGTTAGAATATTTAATAATTGCATTGTAAAATTACATTCAAATTTCAATGAAACCAAATGCATGTTTTTTCCTTCTTTCTTTTCGCCAGTCTATTTTATTGACTTGAATCCTTCAAACAACTTCCCCCAATCAGGTTGCCTGCTGCATATTATAGTGTGAATACCGTGCACTCCAATTTGTACAGGAACTATTTCTCTTTAACGCAATCCTTGCCAATTTAATTTCTCGCCCGATTGTATACAAGTTGTACAATAGGAAACTTGATTCGCACTTTGCTTGCACAGTACGGCCTTAAAGGGCATCTGTGAATGCGAGTACGAGTACGTCTTGAAGTTCTAACCCGATTTACGCGGTGGGTAATTTCATCAATTTTCCTCACATCTGATATATTTTTACGACAATTAATAACTAAATCAAGTACATAAAATCCATAAAAGAAGCTATTTTCCGATGAATACAGTCATGGCAAGTGATGACTTGAACGTCGGCTTGAACGTAAAATGGATTTTCAATCCGACGCTGGAGAAAAATTCGTCCAGCAGCGTCAATGAAATTATCACATCTTCCGTCTCCCGCTGCAAGTACTGTACAGACAAACTAAAATATTTTCCGATACGAACTCGTGTCGCTGTTCTTAGTTCATGATTCATTCGATATATGCATGATACAGGAAACGTTGTGCCCCGATTAGAATAAACGCACTCCGCGGAGTCGAATCAGAACAAAAACACAACGCCGACGACTTGAAAGCCTTTATTGCGCGGGAGAAGATCGACGTTCATCTGCATATTGACTTGCATTCGCGCCATTCGCTAAGCAATCAGGGTGATGCGGGAATAATAAAAAAAGCAACAAAACGAAACAAAAAGTCCGTTCCGTCTACACAAAGCACACTGAGTGCCGGGATTGGAAGACCCGAGAGATTTCTTGCTGCTGCGGCGCATGAATAGCGTCGATTCTATCAATCTGGAACACGGGCTCAATGCTTCGAAACTCGCACAACTTCAAGATCAAACTTGTAATCGCATCCGGCGCAAAATCTATAACGATAACCTTGCACGGCGTCGTCTTCCGATCTCACAGATACATGTTGCACGGGATCGATGTTCTCAAAGTCGCAATCGCACTTCGTAAGCAAAACAGGCGAAGGTATACGAAGGCATCGACCGGAATTCTAGATCCGAATCTCATGATGCTCCTCCGTTCCCTCCTTGCTTTAAAGGAAGACCGCCTAAAATACCTGTTTCTTTTTGTGAGAACAAGAGATATGTGCAATATTTATTCAGGGTTCTAGGACTCCTCTCGAGGGTATTCATGTCAACCTTTATTTTGCGCTTTAAGTCTACGGGGCTGCGTTTGATGTAGAATGCCACTAGTTAGTAATCATCCTGAGAGGACAATTTCATATAATTTTAATTGGCCAGATTCAATCAGCCTTCCAGCAATGAATTTAAACAAACTTTTCAACTAATTTTTTCAATAAATGGAAGCTACGAAGGTCAAGTGATTTGGTAAGTTAATGTATGAGTCGCAACAAAAGCAGTCGAGTACAGGATAACCCCGAATATTTGAGTAAAAAAAAACCAAATGGATTCCTGCGGGAAAGTATAATATCATGAATAATCAAACTCGTAAAAGCACTAGATGATAAAATAAATCTATGTACGTGTATGCATGAGTACAGTATAAAACAATAAAATGATGACGCATTGTCGACATTCACGCAGATTTCAGAGCCACACATTTACCATAGGTTCATGGGCTTTGCGTTTTGAAAATTTGGATGCGTAGGCGCTCGCTTCTCACAAGATGGGTATTTCATTTGTGGTATTTTCTAACCCTGCTGTAGTTGCTGATATCAATTTTACACATATGTTGCTCGGAAAAAATTCTAATGAACTTCAAAAAATAAAGCAATTAAGTGACTCAAACAGACAAACTAAAATTATACTGCCAAATTTCTTCCACTATCAAATAATTTTTAAAGTAAGCAAAATTTCAGAAGGTACGCTATTCCAAGGCTATTTATTTTTTAGGCAGTTTACGCGTGAATAAATTAATGTTTCCTATCCCTGAAGTCAAGTTTAAAGACTGACATTTCCCCCTAATTTCCCCGCGCAAAGAAAGATGCGATATACCACTTTAACCATCATTTATAAATTTACCGCACAGTCCTCTCTGTTCGAAGTGTTTGTAGAACTTTGTAGCTGTACTTCGTTCCTCCGCAGGAAAGCAGAAAGTAGTAGGGTATTTCAGAATGTAGCACGTAAAAGCACTTCCAAATGATATTAGCTAGATTCATCTAAGAAAGCATCTTCCTTTCAGCCCTGATCCAGATCAAAATAAACGCTTTCCCGCAGATAGCAGTCGGAACATGCCACTCGATCAGTGCCGACACTCGCCTTGTACTCCTAAATTCCTCATGCCTTATTCTCTCCCGCAGACGATTTGACGAATCTTTATTGCCTCACTCGCGTCTTTTTCCGCGTCGGTGGGTAATTATACGGGCACGTGTTCGATTATTCACACGAGACGACCGCATTAGTTAATGGATCAAAGACGCTCCGAAGGGAGGGATCAGCATCTCTGAGAACCCGGGCACCTTGTTCATACAGGCCTTCTTTACTTTGTAATGCCCCGTGCTGAGAACCAGGAAGATCCCCCCCCCCCCTTCGTATGTCATCTTGAAGATCTCTCGCGGTGGAGTCCCTGGTAAACTCCGTGAGCTCTTGGAACTTACAAGATTGCATTAGGGTAGCGAAACTTTCTTTGATGATATCTGCTGCCTGAAGAACTCAAACCGTCATAAATTTTTCTCTGCGACAATCCTCACATGTTTTCGCAATTATTGTCAACTTACAACGTATGATACGCTGAGGGACACTTTTCTACTGTACGACAATTGCACATGCATCTAACGCCATGTTTCATGCATGATGACAGAAAGCATGATTGCATTGAGATACCCTGGTTACTCATTTAATGAACATAATTTGTTTCAGTGAGCAGTCTGTCATTCAAAAAGTAAAATAACGAGTACTGTAAAAGCACGTAGAACGTATAATTGCTTTTGCTCCAAATTTTTTTCCAACTGTGAGTGACCTCAATACTCCTTACCCTTAAGGTAAGGTCTGGGGAATTTTTAGAACTTACTTCTTAGAGAAACAAAGAGAGAAGAAGGACAGGGTCCCAACAGACACTAAAAAATCCTATATTCACT